TGTTTATGGTACAAACATTGTATGCATGCTCGAATATATTTTTGTACACACTTTCTCATTTTTGGAAACCAATATCGTTCCTTTATTCGTTCCAAGGTCTTGTCAAAGGCGAAATGTCCTATGTTGTCGTGGTTTGCTTTTACAATTTGCCATCTGCATAGTTTTGGTACCACTCATTTTCTTCCATACACGGTGAGACGGTATATTTTGTTTCCGCTAAGGTCATACTGTCTAAAAATGTCCTTGTTGTTGTCACCATCTCCAAATAAAAGTATATCTTTAATTTTGTTTATTTCTTTATCTTCGTTTTGAGCCTCTCTCAAATAGTCATCTTCGAAAATTGCGTTAACAAACTGAATTTCATTTTGTAAATCTTCATTTACTTCATTTTCAAAATTTCTGCTAAGTGCGTCTACGTGCTGTTTTCCTGACTTATGTTTTATTTCAAAAGAAAAATCTTGCAAGTGTAGTATCCATCTTGCAATCCTTGGGGTTATTTTTTGGTTAGTTAGAGCATTTTTTTACAGAATTACAATCTGTGATAACTGTGAATTCTCTTCCTGTTAGATAATATCTATATCTGTCTGAAGTCTTGACAATGGCTAAAAGTTCCAATTCAAATGAATGATAATTTTTCTCATCTTTTGTAGTTTGTTCGCTAAAGTAAGCTACTGGTTTTTCTTTATTGTCTATAATCTGCATGATAATTTCAGCGAATCCATCTCTGCTAGCATCTGTGTAAACTATTATTTCACTTTTTGGATTAAAAATGGTTAATATTGGTTCAGTGGTAATTAAATTTTTCATTTCTTTTATAAGGTATTTTCTCGTGTTCTTCTGTTCATTCCCAAGGACAATCTTTTGTCAAAGTTTTGGTTAGCTGAGCCGTTTTTCTGGCAAAATCTAAAATAAATTTTCTAAAAAATCCTATGAGACAAAGGAACTGCCTCAATTGATGTTGAGTTTTCGGATTGGGTAATTTTTTCACAGATTCTATTTTCAATTTGCTGGGCGATATTTGGTTGAAAGAAATTTCGTACCCTGGCTCATTAAAAATCTGGATTTTGACATTTTCACAGTTACCCTATGTTGTTGAAGTATTTCTAGTACTTGATTTAAAAGTTTCAAACCATCTTCTATTGTCTCGGATGGAATTAAGATGTCATCTAAATACGGAATAACATCAAATTTTCTCAGTGGCTGCAAGATTTCAGACATCATTTCTTAAAAAACTGCTGGCGCGTTGCACAATCCAAATGGGCAACGAATGTATAATACGCGCAACAATATACCGTTGACTCCTACTGCAATAAATTAACTACCTGGATTAGACCCTATTGTATAGGCCCCAACCTCTTCAAAGCTCAATAAATGGAATCAGGGTCGGCTTAAACATTTAGGTACCTTTATACCAACCAACCACATTATTTATTTTCATAATTTAAGATAATTGGACATTTTTCGTTTAAGGTAAGGGTAAAATAACGATAACAAGTATTATTTCAAAAATTATAATTCAAAAGTATAAAAAAAATATATAAGATAAGAAATATAAAAAAAAAGAAAAAAAATATAATAAAGATATTAAGAAACACAATAGGAATTACGAAATTCTAAAACTACTGATAATTTATTCATTATTTAACTCTGTATCACTATCACTATTGTCATCATCTAGACCTAAACTTATAATTAAGGGTTGAACATTTGTAATGAAACAATTATAAGAATTTTCCACCTTCAGTACATGATTTACACAGTTTTTCCAGTTGTCTGCAGAAATCTTTTCTACTTCGTTTTTAATTAATTCTACTACAGATGCATTTAATGTGGGAGAAGTATTATTTCTCCTAATATTCGATTTCAATTGGTGCCATACTAGCTCGATAGGGTTAAATACACAATAGTATGGAGGAAGGCGCAACACTGTATGTCCATTTTTGGCTGCAAGTTTGTCACACTCGTATTCCTTATTGATTTTGAAAGACTTTAATACTTCTAGCAGTTCTCGTTTTTTGTAAGTTTCTTCAAAATATAAATCATTTTCAATCATGAAATTTTGAATTTCTTCCTTCGTATTATTAGAATTGGGAATGATTTTTGCTTGCCGACTATGATAACTAGCATTGTCCATTACGATGACGCTATTTTCGGGGATATTTTTAAGGAGTTTATGCTCAAACCAGTCTTCAAAAAGTCGTGCGTCGGTATCTTGATGGTAATCTAAAGAAGAATCTGATATGTTTTTGGCGGAAAGTAACAGACAATTTGGAACAAATCCGTTTTCTGAACCAGCATGTATTATTGTGATTCTTTTGCCTTTATTTGAAGGTGCCTTGGTTTGACAATTTTTAGAAGAATCATTCCAACCTTTTCTTGGAGTATCATGGGTATCGAACCATGTTTCGTCAAGGTAAATAATTGGCCGATTTTCTTCCCTAAATTGTTTAAGAGCTGTTAAATATCTAAGTCGCCACTCCCGCAAACGTTGAGATTCCATTAATGTTTGCCTCTTATTAATTGTTCGGTATTTAAAACCTATTTTACTCAATATTGTCCTGAGGCTTGAAAGGCTACAAGAGATATTTGTTTCATCTTTTAACAGCCGTTTTCTGAGGGAAATCAAAGTCGGTACAGTTTGTTCCTCATACATTTGATAAATCTTCCTTCTCAATAGATCTATGTCATTTTGGTCAAAGCTTCTAAATGTGCCAGAATCACTCCGTTTTTTTCTAGGATTAACAGGTTTAAGTACTATGTCTCTTACCGAAGATAAAGGAGTTTTTGTTAAAGTAGACGTCTCTGCTAATGCGTTCGTTGAATTAAAATTTCTACTCAACAAAGATTGATACACATTTTTAATTATTTGTTTGGCATCGATAGATAAATGCTTTCTTCGAAAAATGTCACTTGAAGATGCCCCCTATCAGTACACTCAAAAGGACGCCACATAATACCACAGATAAGTCCAACTGAAAACTACTCTCTGGAAGACTACTAAAAACTAAAATTATAAAGTCAGTTGCTACTATTTATATTTTGGTTATTTTGACCTGATATGCAATATAGACATAGATATTCTCAAAACTCAGAATAATCTAGGTCATCAGGTATGTAACATACCTACCTGTTATAAATAGAATTTGTGATAATACCTGAGGATCCGGCTCTGCTCGAAAAAGGTTTAAATTTGGGGTTTTATGATTTATTACTTGGTCAAAAGGATAATAGGTGTTAATTTATTGCAGTAAGAGTCAACGGTATATTGTTGCACGTACTTTACTCAAATTGGCCCTCTGGTGTTGCGAAGGCTGTATAGGGTATCGAGTCGTCTGTCATGGCGATTTTGTGGTAGCCCGCAGCTAAGTCCAACGTTGTAAAGTATTTACAGTTTGTCAAGTTGGCTATAATCTGCTCAATAATAGGGATTGCTATTGATTTCTTTTTAGTTATTTTATTAATGTGGCGATAAACTACTACTAATCTTTTCTGGTCGCCTTTTTTATTGAATAAAAATGATGGACAGTGGGGTGAATTACTTTTTCTTATAATTTGTGCATCCAATAATTCACTTATAATATTTCTGAAAATCTGTTTGTCAGCTTCAGCTACTCTGTAAGATCGATAATTTATAATTTTTGAGGATGTAATTTCAATTTTCATTTTCACTGATGTTGATGATTTCAAGCCGTTCAAATATGTGGAGAAACAATCTTTATGATCATCCAAAATTGAATGTAGGTTTAATTGCCGATTTTCTGTTAAAGATCCGGCGGAAATATGTTGTTTGAAATTCTTTTTATATTGAAACGTTGAAATGTCATCAATTCTATAATACATGATGTCAGTGTTTTCTGTGAAATTCCTGCCGATAAGTAAATCTGTATTCCAATCAGTTTCCAACACATACAAAGTGATTTTAAGCTCCACTGCATCTATTCCAATGTTGGCCTCAACATATTTATTGACTGGAGAACTATTTTCCAAAAGCCAGACAATATTATGTTTTCAGGTAGGTTTTCGATTCGTTATTCAAGGTCTTTGGCTATCTGCAACAATATCAACGAACAATCACTTTCAAAATCAATAAAAGCTTGACGTTTTGAATTATTCACCAAAATAACTTGTTAAATTTATTTTGTGATGATGTCAATTTTATTCTTTTAATGTGTTCAGATTTGTGAGTTTCGTGATTGGAATTATTGAATCATTTCTTTTAAAACAGTTTTTCTCTATATGCCCTGTATAATTGCAGAAACGACAAGTCTTTTTACGATGTCTGCAATCTGCATACATGTTTAGTATGCCCTTGTTCACCACAACAGTTGCACCTTATTTTGTTATATTTATAGTGTTCAAAGTGTTTTTTTTTTATGGAAGAACTAGATGTACTTGCAGTAGAAGTATTGGGTATCTCTGAATTAGGCGTCTGTGTCTTATAATATTTATTTTTTAAATAGGCGGCTAGTAAATTTGGATTTTCAATTCCTGAAGCTTCGACTGCCCAAAGTAATATTTGCATCATTTACTGCCCCAATAATTAATGAAACTTTATCAGCGTCAGAAAAATTAACTCTTAATTTGTTAATTTTTGATAAGTGATCAAAATGGAACTGGTATAATGAACAACCAATAATAGGTCTATGATTGGCAATATCCATGAAAATATTGTAAGTATTTCTAGCTCCTTGAAAAGTATTTTGTAAAATGGACTTCCATTTATTCCAAGAAAACTGAGACCATTCTGGCTCATTTTCAATGAAACTTGTATAACAAACTTTTGCTGTCCCTTTTAATTTTGTCATCGCCTGATAAATGGTAAAATTGTCATTCCATGCATATGTTTTGCTATTATGGTCTATTATTTCAATCCACTGATTTATTTGGCACTTTAAGGGATCAAACTCAGGCATAAAATTGACAGTTTCAATATTTTTTGAATAATTATAGGTATGTACAGGTATTGGTAATGAAGGGATACTTTCATGAGAGGTACTCACCGGCAGGGCAGGAGGCGTATAACTGCGTGTTTTGCTTTTCTTTTTAACTTTAGGATAACGACGTGAGCTTCCGTATTTTCCATCACTCGACACCGACAAGCTACTAGAGCTTGAAGTCTCACTCGTATCACTAGACCGATTATCACATCGCGATTGTCTTTTTTTTCTATTTCTTCTAGGCATTGTTTTTTTTTAAATATTTTTCACTTGAAAATAGCGTTCAAAATACAAAAGATAAATTTATTAATCTGAGTTCAACCACTTCTGATGTAGTCTGGGCTTAATAAAACTACGTATTTTCATCAATAATAATTATATTTCCGAGATACACGCACAAAGTAAAAACATCTACAGCTGTATACAACATCCTCTTTTAACTTAAAAGGGCTTTTTAAAACTGGTCACTTTTAAAAATGTGTATTCTAAGCCAAACAAATTTTTAAAGGTACCAGTTTTAAAAAGCGTTTTAAAGTTAAAATAGGATATTGCATACAGCTGCTAATCTTTTAACTGTATTCTCTCAAAAGCCCAACTATATCTAACTGTATAAGTCCCTTTCTTAGATTGCAAGGTCTTCATTATAAACCTTATCTTTCCTAACCATGGGTTTCTTTTGTGTGCCTGGGTTGGGATGGCGTGTCGCAGGTTTATCTTTGGTACTAACCAACGAAGTTGTAACGCTTAGGGGCACGTTCTCCCCTAACGAGCTCTATATACATGGACTTGACTGCAAATATGAACAAATAACAAAAAAGTATTTGATATTAATAATGAATATAATAATGGAAATAAATTCCAATAAAATACCAACATAATATAAGTATTTAGTACTGATCTGACATATTGCTATCTCTCAGCTTCAATGAATAGTATACCGAAATCAACTTGCTAGACCTCTCTTTTGTCAGTCTATTTCTCAAATCTGAGTGTACAAAAGATCAGTTTGAAAACAGCCTTTCTAATTGAGCCGATAAAGCAGGGATACTGGAAGCTTTTGCAAGGCAAGGGAACGTTTCATAGTTTCATTCAGCTAATCCCCAAAATGTAGTAACAAATTTGTTTCGTCGCCATTATACAGGGTGTTCGGCACATGAGTAGACATACGTAAATCTGAGATAGGTGGAGCCGTCTGCTATGCGGTTGTGATGGCAACTTTTTTTCTCTCGCCCCCTCGCAAGTACACCTTGTCACATATTTCCTTCCGTAATTATACATTTGAAGGTGTTGTGATTTTTGAAGTAATAGCCACATTTTCTACGTGTTTGTGAAAATATCTTTTCACATATCCATCTAGTCCACTCCTCTAAAAATTAACAAAAGTTAGGATAGCGGTCATTGAACAAGTCGCAGACTTCTTAATATATCCTTGTTTTATCTCCATATCCACGAAAAATCATAATATCAATACGTTAGGTCTCTGATAATCGTTATAAACAGATATATATTTAGCTACTCAACTGACAGTGACATATTTGTCATTGTTTTAGTATGGCAACAATTGTTTCAATAACAACTGAAGCGGTCCGATAAGTTTGATGCTCATTCTAAAATAGGTAACTATCTCAGACAGAATGGTTTACACTAGTATCTAGGTAACAGTGCCAACTAAATTTTAAAAATTTCTGATCTCACTAAATTTGACACGCCCAATTCAGTTTGCACTGCTGGCTAGATTTCTTGACGCTTGATTTAAACTATGAAGATATGTTTTTTATAGCAGCCAAACTTCTCTGTAATAATTCGGCATTTCCATCCAAAATTTGTTTTAAGTCACATTCTTCCAAAAATTGAATCTAGTTAACATATAATTTTTACAAAATAACTCATTTCATACTTAAACAGTTTCTGTGTTTTTTTTTTCTCCAAATTTCTTGTCCTCAATGTTTCATAAATAAAACTTTGTACCTTTGTCCTTCTCTTTTCAAATCCTAGCTCTGCTACTTGTGGATGGCCATAAAACAAGAGATTTGACAAAACTTCTAAAAATTTTCTCTCACGATTTGTCAAAATCTCGATTATGAGAAACGTTTTCCCAGTCAGTTCATTTTCGAAATGGATTCTCCTGGCTTTTGCTTTTACTTTCGAAGCTTATGGGTCTGTTATCAGGACTGTGATGCTGTCAGGAGGCATTTATGTAAATGGGTGTCTAAACTGCAGAGAGGACTACAAGGGGTGATGTACCCGTAAATTTATTAACATTTCTCAATTAATATTTTTGATTATTATTATTGGTATTTTCTTGTATTTACTTGGCATACTTCCAAGGTTGTTTTACTGCCTTAATTATTACAAAGGGTGTATAGTACCAATGATTTTTAATGTACTATATTTAAGGTGACATTTTTGTACAAACCCGCCCCGGTATACCATGATATAAGCGTGCACAGGTTTTAATTAGTATTATTAACATCTTTAATAACTGTTGGTTCTCTTTTACTCTCATTTAACTAAGGTAGTCAAACATTTAATCTATTGGTAAATCTTAAATTCATTACAGTGTCTTTTATAAGGCCACATTGGTCCTTGCTACATTTTGATTTTTTTTACTATTAATAATAATATATATTGTGGTATTTTACATATTGCCTTATATTGGCCTTTGCAGTTTTGAACATATACCCCCCATTTTATTAAATAGATTTTTAATCATTGTTTTAGATTTGACTCTTATTTTATCCCTACTGACATCAACCAAACCAAGGTAAAATTGTTTTATTTTGAAGGATAGGTACATTGGGTAGGTACATTTTTATAGGAATTTTGGAGATCAGGGACTTTCTGATTTAAATCCGCGGATTGTATTTTATAAATCAGTGGCGCCCTATTAAGCTAACTTTTATTATTGAACCTACTCCCACACCACTGAGTAGCCGCGAGCACTTTGTTGCGCTGGCCGCATTCCTTAAGAGTGTCTTACAGTACCTAGGCCTATTGTGGTTTATTAATTTAAATTTACTATTCAAACAGTTTAAGGGTAATTTTACGCGCAACATTCACTAAAAATCTTTTTAAAAATTCCATTTTTAGAGAAAAGGAAAAGATATATATTCTTTCTACCCTTTTCCAATTTGCAGAAGACATCTATATAGATTTTTTTCCTCATGGCGCTGCTTGCATAATTTCTCACATGAGATATTTTAGCACATTTTTTGTCAGTGTCATCTAGAGGCTTCCCTGCTCTGACCTTAGCCTTTATATTGGAAATTGAAAACTGAAATTTTTAACAAAAATTCATTAATAGGTAAATACAGTTACTATAAATAATGTTTTTGTTAGCATTTTTATTGCACCTTTCTCCACTCTTCTCCATTTTTTTCAACCTCTCCTATAACATTTAAATTAGAGGAAATATTTTCCCAAGCCTGCTTTTTTTGCTCAGGGGTTCCTTTGCCTCAAACTAAAAAGCTAAATTCCGCAACTAGGTCGACCAATGTTTCATTTTGTTCTCTTGTGGCTTTTTTTGATGGCATTTATCAAAAAGCAAAAATTATGATACATTTTTTGTGCAACATTTTCTTCTTAAGTAGCATTGCCACACTATCTAGCAAATGGTCTTTACTGACTGGAAATCCCATTTTGGCCAAGTGAATTTTCCACTTTACTGATATTCACTCCTCTTCTGATTTTAAAACTGTCAGAGCACCTGCTGTACAATCTACAGGATATTGTCCGATTTTCTTATAATGTAAAGTAATTTTTGGGATGGTAAATGTTTTACTTGCAGGTTTTACATGCATGCAGTTTGCTATGAATTTCAACGTCAATTTTAACGTATCGGGATCATACCGACGATTTTTTTTCTACTCCTACATGCTTGAATAAGTACTTAGGTACCAAGTACCTATCTAGAAAAAAAAAACGGAAATTTTCTTATTATAGCATAATTACTCCTAAACCTGACACATTCATTTCCTAATTATGACACTCCTGTCTTTAAGAGTAAACTGTTAACACGCCTTTTATGATGCTCCATGATAATGACACGCCTGAAATTAATAGGTAATGATTTTAAAAGTTGAATGTTTCCTAAATTATAACTTAAAATATATAATACGTAAGCACCCCCTATAAAGTCCCACGCTCAAATTACACATTTTAACCAAAAAAAACTTACCTCAACTCAAAATTCTTACCTAAAAGAATTGGGACAAAAATCACGTATCCTATACAAGCAAATGTACACACCTACACTTACACCTGAACTGAAATGGCATTATGGTTTTGGTGAATGCTGGCGCGAAGTTTAAAAAGAATCTGTCATCAGTCTGTCTGTCAGGATTAGGCACTGTTTCAGAAATCCGACTTTTACTTTACGAGTTATAACTTCACAAGTTTACTGCACAATGATCATGACACATACAGATAACGTTTGAGAACATTGAAGAACATAAAATAATAACAACATTCCATTTCTATGTTTTCGATAGCCAAATCCATCTCTTAACTCAAACGAAGGTGACTGAATTTTGAACAAAGTTAGACTTAATTGAGAGAAATGAGGATTGGTTGATTGCTTAACTAACACAATACCTGCTATTCTAAATAACTAGTGCAGAATAGCATCTGCTCGAAGCATCAACATGCCCCATTTGAAAATTTTGATCTATGCTCTACTTCATAATAATAAGATTCCAAAAATAAAGCCCATCTAGCAATATTTGCCACAATATCCTTTTTGTCCAAAGTTGAAAGTTAATCTAAAACCTCCTTATTGCATTGAAAATACTAAGACATTCAAACTCATGACTATGAAATTTGCTTTCTGCTTCAGTTCTATTCCAAATATACCAGATATTTTGATACTTGTTTCAGCTGCTTCTACACTATTTTTGTTTAAAAATAGATACATAAATTAACATTTAGATAAATTAGGTCTGTTCCCGGTTCCTTATATCAATGATGAGGCTTACCTAATGCAATTTTAAACTTAAATAGAGCAAGAACCGCTGAACCATGGTGGGTATATTCGGAATCAAAAGAAAAAAAATGCAAGTGTTTTTCATTTTGACAGTTGGCACCTGTCTTTTGCCTGTTTTGATATGTGCAAAAAAGAATACAGGTAAAACGCAACTTTTGTATTTATCATTTTTCTAATTTTTTTTTCATCAACTTTTAGAAGCCGCACTAATTATAAGGAACAGACCCTTGTACATATGTAGGATAATTAATTAACGTACCTGTTTGCCGTTGAAGAAACATTCGAATTGTTTGAGAAGTTTTTTTTTTTTTTTAATGATTACATTTTTGTAACAAGGGGAGTGGTATCCAACACTATCGATCGATTCAGGAATTCAGGTGCCAAAATCAAATCAACGTATTGGTGGTTCTTGTGTTTCCGGAACGGCATTTTATTCCGGTAATTTTCAAAACGATCCGCACAGTAAAGTCTAGGACTTTTACAAGCACAACAACAACAATAATTAGTTTATCTTTTAGCAAAAGAACATTTGATTGAATTAGACTAGCAAAAACCAAATGAACGATCTCATATAAACGCTGGGACTCTTACGAGATCAAAAAGAAACTCTCAAGTAGTCGAAATGACCAAAAGAAGTTACGAACAACAAATATTTAGTAATATCTTTATGAACTTTGTTACAAATAACACTCGTTATCTGCATTCTAAGACGAGAGAACCTATAGGGTCGTGGAATTCAAAAAATTAAGATAACGTGTAGCCCCTTTATGTGCAAATGAAACCACTCAAAATCCAACAAACAATTATTTTATTTTGTTTACAATGTAGTAACAGTAACAATGTTACTTTCTGTAAAATTGGACAGTTGACAGGTTGGTTGTTCTGGTGAATCTGACACATGTACCTTTCCAATCCGGAACTCTTCAAGGGATTTTGGGGTTTCATTTTCATGAACTGGAGTTCTTCGTGTTATTTCCTATATCCAGGAGAGAGGATAGATTGCTGGTGGGGCGTCACTTCAACTGATCGAAACTCCAAACAGTGATTTTTTATGTCCAGTAGGTACCCAGAAAAGAATAAGGCAGTATCAGGTTCACCAAAATTTGGAATATTAAGTCCCTGAATTCTGTCAAAAAGTGAGTGTCTTGCAAAGACAGAAAAATTAATATGAAATTAGTTTATTATAAAACTATTGTTGTGCAGACACTCCTGTTGGAAGAATCAGGTATGAGCAACTATTACAAATTACAAAAAAAATATTTCAATATAAAAAAAAAATTAAATAATTTTAAATAATCATAAGATATTAGTAAAATAGATAACAGCAAGATTAAATTAAAATGCTCGTTATAAATCGAGAAGGGTGCTGCTTTTCTGGCAGTAGCAATGAAAAGGCAAGAACTCGGGCAAGAATAAAAACAAATGTAGGAAAAATTTAATCAGATTTAAAAAAAAAAAATAAAAAACTAAATCTCTAGATTCTCCCCCAAATAGAAAAATTTTCCTTTTTTAGTTAAGGTACCTACTATAAGTAGGTACTACAAGATAAACCTGAGGGTGAAATCAATCAATTCCAGAATATGTCAAAATTCTTGAGATGTTTTAATTAAAAGTTTTTAAATTAATTTTTGACCTGTCTGGATTTCTATTTTAGAAATTACACCCTTTTTCAACACTCTTCTCCTCGAGAAGATAATAATCGAGATTGAAGAGTTTGCTGCAAGAAGGATTTATCTGTGTTTTTTTAAACTTTACAGGAGACATAAAAAACTTAATATATTTTCTATGTATTTGAAAAAGTAAAAAAGTTTTTCAGGGCTACTGTAAATTATTATAGTTAATGATTCAAGGCAAAAAAAAAAAAAATTCTAAATAAAACTTGTAAATAATAAACAAAAATGCAGATACCTCCTTCTTTCACCCAAAAGACAACAATAATTTGTTACTTTCATTTATTTTTGCAGTAAATCATACATTTATTGGTATTCTTTAACAATATATACGCCACATAGGTTATTCTGCATCATTTTCGTCATCGTCTGTGTCATCTGTCTCCTAACTGGCGATTTCGTCGGAAACAAGGGAGTTACAATATCTGCCTGGGGAATGTACTTTCCAGCGAAATGCATACCATTATCATATTTTGCCTTCTTAAGCGGCAAGGGATTGGTATATAGCTGATTTTTCGGTAGGACGTTTTTGAATACTGAAGTCACTAAAAATAAGAAAGTTGTTTGTCGTGGAGCATCTCACGTACATTTTGTGTTCTGAAGAATATTCGAAAATTCTGTATTGTGAAATTTTAAACTTGAGGTAGTACTTTTTCTGAAAAATGTACTAAGTGCTTCGACAAAATTAAATATCATGTTCTGGGTAAAAGAAACTGTTACAAAATTTTTTGGACTGCTATTTTGGTAATGTTTAATATATTATATTGGTAATCAAATCAAATCAAATCAAAAATTGCTTTATTATCAAAGATACAATCTTATTGACAAAGCTAAACTTAAATTTAGTATCAACGAAAAGCCTTAGAACTAGTTACATGAAAGGACAATAAAAAATAAAATAAAAATACAATGCGCACACTCGAAAAACAAACAGTTAAAAATATACAGAGACGTAAAGTAAGCCTCGAATTCTAGCTACGAATTAGGAAAGCATACCACAAAAAATCAAGATCAAATCAAGAAGTTGACCAGAAAAAAACTTTTTATTCACAAAGCATAAATGGACAGCATTAAACAGAAAAGAACCAACCATCATGACTCATGACTTGAGAAAATGGTGGTTGAAGTAAAAGTGATTTTATAAATTAGCATTAGTTTAGAAAGTACTGATTTCAATTTAGAGGGGTGAGGTAATACTTATTGTAACTTTTTCAATGAAAAATATCAATTGACTTACAATAGCTATTGCTCATTTTTAAATTTTTGTGGTTTGGTTCCTTTCTCTGATAGTAAAAAAAAATTATAATCTGAAATGCAGAAAAAAATCAATGTTGTTGGTTCCGTTCTACGAAATGCATAGGGTTTTAATGAAATCAAAAATAATGCATTTTCGGTCGCAAAGCTTTTTATGTGACAAAATTAAAAAACATAATTGGTTTTTATTCACCTTACAACTTAATAATTATTTTCTTCAATACATTTTTTTTCTAAAATCTTATCAACTACACCTCCTCAACATTATCTGGCTCAAAATCAGGCGGAATCCAAAATCCATCCACATCATCCTCCACGTCGCGACTACCAGAGAGATTGCGATAAAAATCCTTCGCATCAGCTGGAATAAGATGTAATAGGGACTTTAGGTCCTTCAACTTTGGGGCTGCAATATCTTTTCCCTTTTCCCACATTGGCTGAAGTAAACCTCTAAAAGAAATTTCATTTTGTTGTGCTCCTAGCAGGTTTACGTTCTAAGTTTATAACAGAATATGGCGATTGAAAGTCATAACGAAAATATAGTTTCAGAGGTTCTTTCTTTAGCAATTTGATTTCTCGAATTTTAAGACAGCTTATTTTTTCTTTTTCTTCGTCTATTTTCCTATTAACTATGGCTTGTTCCAATTTTTGTGTCCCAAAAAAATCAAGACTTTGCATTTCAGTTACAATAAATGGTTTTTTTTTCTAGCTCTTTTCATAACTTGGACGTAGTCACTTGGCAAATAAAGCGTTTGTAGGTACATGTTTTAATGCTCCTTCAATATCGCTAAAGTCAGTGTCATTAGCTAAAAAGCTGTGTCCAGGTACAAGATATTTCATTTTTATTGTTTCCAGGGTGGGATGAGTTTCAAGGCACGATTTTAATATCAAGACCATCCTAATATTCCGGTTTTGGCCACCGCATGAATCACTCCACAAAACAAGATCCTTTATTCCACTCTCCACTTTGGTCTCAATATGCTTAATCAAACATGAACCAATTTCTTGAGCCCCTCTAACCGCTTGATTTTCTGTCCAAATGTAGCAATATCCTTGATTGTTTTTAAAAGAATGAACACCAGCGTTATACAACCACAACTGCCTCTTGTAGAAAACGATACCAGTAGGAATTCGAGGAAGAGGTAACGTTTTTTCCAGATCATAACTTCAGCATTCAAACTCCTTCACTTTGTGAGCCTCTAGTTTGTCATGATTCATGAGATTTCGAGCTTCTCTCCAAAGGTCTATATGTTTGTTATGTGCCTCTTCTAAAACGTTTTTGGCTGAACCAGTTGCCGACTGTATTCTAGCAGCAAAGGAATCGCATGTGTTACACGTGTCTTTCTTTAGACTTTTAAATTTTAAATTAAAATCATTTAAAAATATTCTCCTATAAGTTGAAAAACTTACTGCATCAATATCTTTCAATATATCATTTTTATTTTTTTCATTTCCTTCCCTCCATTCCCCTATCTCATTGTTCCTCTCTTCTCCAATTAAGTTTTCCACATACAAGTCATACATTTTTATAAGGGTCATTTCAGGTGAAAGAAATTCGGCATCAGTGTTATCACGCCTGTAATGTGACTTGTATCGTGGAAGTTTATTGATGTGTTCCTTGACTGTCTCCAATTTTTTATCACTTGTCTTGTTCTTTCCTCCCTGTTTTTGTCCCCTTTTATCTTTCAAATCGTCAGATCGTATTTTCTGTAACGCGGTGTTTATTTTTTTGGTTGATACCTGAAACGTATGCCTAAACATTTCACGGCAAACAGGGACTGCTCTGAGAGTGTATATTCTAGAATATTGCCTTTTTGATGGCCTGTTAGTGTATTGTCGAGCTTTCTCTTTCTCCCTCATAGAAGCTGCAAGAAACATATTCTGGGCGTTGTAATCACCTAACGCCCAAAATTTGTTAAATTCTTCCTCTCTTACATCTTGTCCAACTTTATTGTGGCATTCTGCTTTACAGGGGCACTGAAAATCTTGAAAACATTTTTGTTTAACAAGCTTGCCTTTATAATTATAATATTCTTTGTTACTATTTCTTAATTTTTTTGCAGTAACGTTTGTTTGCATTTCAAATTTTCGTTTTCTTCCTCTGGAAGTTCTGGTGGTTTTATTCAGAGTATTATTATCGGACACTCCAACAGCCTCAGGATCATTATCTGAACTTGCATCAGATTCGTTCTGATAATCTGGATCTGTTCTATTTTCAAGATTTTCATCTTCAAAATCACTCATATGCTCTTTCTCGAAATGTTCTGGTCTTGGTAATTGATGGCGAAACTCGAAACTCTCCTCAACCGGCATATCTTGGATATTATCGAGCACTATTATATTTTCCAACGATTGCAAAGTTGTATCTCTGGTAGTTCTAACTGGAGTATTATTAGCGGTCACTACAAGAACCTCAGGATCATTATCTGAATTTACATCAGACTCTTTCTGGTTGCTTATGGTTGGACCATAATCTGGATCTGTTTTTTCATATTCAATTTCGTCCTGAAGATAACTCATATGCTCTACTTCAAAATTTTCTGATGTTTGTACTTGGTTGTGAAACTCGCAGCTCTCCACAATCGGCGTATCTAGAATATTGTCCAATCCCATTATGTTTTCTAAAGATGGGGATTGACACAAAGTTGCTTGCTGAAGCGCTTCAATATCAATCCAAGAAGATGTGTCAGAATTATAAACAAATACTTTGCTTTCATCTAAAACTGATTCTGGTCCACCCGAGGTTCCACATCCTTGTGGAATATTATCTGATTTGATGCGAATCGATTCGTTAGATACTTCAGTTAAATCTGGAGTATATTGATTGCTCCCAAAGTCTTCTGCTACAACATAAATTCCCATTTTAAAAATATGAGAAATCAGTAATTCTATTCCACTATACTTACCTTGGCTTTCATCTAAGACTGATTCTCTTCCAGGCGAGGTTCCACATCCCTGTGCAATATTATCCGATTTGATGCTAATCGATTTGTTAGATACTTCAGTTAAATCTGGAGTATATTGATTGCTTCCAAAGTCTTCTGTTACAACATAATTTCCCATTTTAAAAATATGAGAAGTAAGTAATTCTATTTTGCTATACTTACCTTGGCTTTTATCTAGAACTAATTCTGTTCCACGCGAGCTTCCACATCCTTGTAAAATATTATCCGATTTCATGCGAATCGATTCGTTAGATGCTTCAGTTAAATCTGGAGTATATTGATTGCTTCCAAAGTCTTCTGCTACAACATAAATTCCCTTATTAAAAATATGATAAATAAGTAACTCTATTCTGTTTCACTTACCTTGGCCTATCACACTATCAGACACCTCGGTACCTGGCATAGAATAATCATTGTAATTCTCTGATGAGGTGCTTGACAAATTTAACAATTTATCATCTAAAAAAAAGGTTGATTGTAGACATAACTAGATGCACCGTTGGTACATTGAGCTATGCAACATAAGAAAATTCCTACATAATCTAAGCACCCATAATGAAAAAGGTTGATTGAATGGATATCCCTCTGTTGCATAAACGCTCCAACTGTTGTTTCAAAATAAAGAAATATAATTTTGCATGAATCCCAGAACAGATAATAATAATTATTGTGATAATTACCTTCGTATTTTTTGAGGGCTAATTCAAGTAATCGCTTTCCACGGCGTGACATGATAAAATGGTCGGGTTCATCAGGACGTAGCGCTACAATAGCGATCATCAGCAGTGTTGCCAAATTATTACAATTGTGGCAAATTTTGTCCCTGTTCTTCTCACCAAAAGGAAAAAAAGATGGAAAATGGTCCAAGCGCTCAGTGTTTCAAGCGGAACTCATTTATTTTAATAATTTTTGGTTAAATAAGTGAAAATATAATAGATTTATTGGAAATGTAATAATGTAAATAAATAACCTTTGATAAATGTAATAGATTTGCTACATTTGTAATAAACTGGCAACACTGTTGCTGATCGCTACTGTAGCGCTATGTCCTGATGAACCCGACCAATGATGAATTTTGCACTTTTTCAGCACTACCCTACGAAAGCGTAGAACTGCCATGCTAATATTAAAATATTTTTATGAAAACTTACACTTTTTCTGTAAGTTGATAGTTAGGGTTAGTTTGGGTTAGTTTGCAATTTTAATCAGACATCACCAAACTTACCGATAATAACCCGGTGAGTTTGCAGTTTCAATATTAATAAACTTTTAACGATAATAACCCGGTTAGTTTGGGTTAGTGTGCGATTTTAATCAAACAATAACATTATGTTTTCCAAATTATTGATTTTCGAAATAAGCGTTTTCGAAAAATATAAATATTTTCAAAATTATTGAATTTTGAAAGAAAGGTTATTTGAAATAAGCGTCTTCGAAAAGGTTTATTCTCGAAATAACAGCGTTCGGAAGAAAATCGAAATTTGTATTTTGAATTGAATTGAACATACATAGAGGACTGATAAAAATTGCAAACTTATCCAAACTAACCAGGTTATTGTTATTATTGTTGGTAATGTCAGACTAAAATTGCAGAATAACCCATACTAACCGAGTTATCATCGGTAAGTTTGGAACAGCCAACTAAAACAAACTAACCGGGTTATTATCGGTAAATTTGGTAATGTCTTTTTAAAACTGCAAACTAACTGGGCTATTATCTATGAGTTTGGTGATGTCTGATTAAAATTGCAAGTAACCCAAACTAACCGGGTTGTTATAGGCAAATTATAGGTAGGTAAGTTTGGATATGCCTAATTAAAATTATAAACTAACTTAAACTAACCGGGTTCTTATCGGTAAGTTTATATGTCTGATTGAAATTTCAAATTAACCGGGTTATTATTGGTGAGTTTGTAAATAGCTGAATATCAGTATATTACATACCGAGGTGGGAAGTGTTTCATTACTGTCGAGAGATTAGTTAGTTAACTGAGGCGCAAAGCGTCGAAGTCAACTATAATCTCGAGACAGGAATAAAACTTCCTACTGAGGTTTGTATACTATTTTATCTACAAGCGTGCGGTAACTAAGGTATATTACACGATTTTGCGTGCGGTAAGTACCATATTACCGCACGGCATGCGGTAATGTTATTACTGCACGCTTGAATTACCTACCAGAGATAAATTACCTACCTATCACCTAAATTCTACTTGTCCAATGTCCACTGTCAGAGGGTGACAGACGCGATTTTTTTTTTTCATAATTTTTCAAACTTCTTCCGAATATTTTGTTACCGCACGGTTGTAGATAAAATACTGTATTTAATACCTATGGTAATTAGGTTATTACCGTCCTTGGAGAATGCAAACCTCGTCTCACCGGCTTGGTTTGCAAATTTCTCTCGCGTGCGGCAATAACCTAGTTACCACACTTATTATACAGGGTGTCCACTTAGTGCGATATCGGACGATATCTCTTTACAGGGTGATGCGAGGGGTGATGCAAGAAAAAAAATTTAAATTACAAAGTTGTTTGATGCTCTAATATGCATTAGTTAAAAATATCTTTGAATATACAGGGTGCTTCGTTAATAGGGTATGCGTCAGAACTTTGTTATTTCAAATAGAACACTGTATGTGATTGCATATTTGGATTCTACGTAAAATTCTGAGCAGATTTTATGTAATATACCCTATACCTAAGTTCAACTGTTTTGGAAATATTGACAGTTGAAAATTGACTTTTTGCAAATTTGACAGGCTGTGAAACCTAAACGGTTGAATTTAGACGAAAACCGATTTAGCATTCCTATTTTAGATTTTCATAAACTATCATTTGACACCAACTTTGAATTTAACCGGAGATTAAATTTAACTGGAATTTTTAAAAATCTAAGATAGGAATGTAAAATCGTCTAAAATTAACCGTTTAGGTTTTACAGCTTGTCAAAGTTGCAAAAAGTCAATTTTCAACTGTCAATTTTTCCGAAACAGTTGAACTTAGGTATAGGGTTTATCAGATGAAATCTGCTCGGAATTTTACGTAGAATCTAAATATGCAATCACATACAGGGTGTTCCATTAAAATTAACAAAGCTCTGTCGCATACCCTATAAACGGAGCACCATGTATATTAAAAAATATTTTTAACTAATGCATATTAGAGTATCAAACAACTTTGTAATATAATTTTTTTTTCTTGCATCACCCTGTAAGGAGATATCGTCCGATATCGCACTAAGTGGACACCCTGTATATTATACTATTATTTACAACAATTACAACCATCACAATTTTCGACTAAATACTAAATAAAAATGTTTAAAAATTTGTTGACAAGTTCGGACTTATCTAAAACGTTTGATATGCAGGACTTGTCTTTAACATTATAGGAAATGAAGGCTTACTTTCCACCCGGGGTGGAAAGTAAGTACTTTCCACCCGGGACCACTTTTCACCCGGAAGGATAGTAAAATTCAAAAAAGTACCACTTTGGAACTTTTGAAAAGTCAGAAATGTCAACATTACGTATGTTGTTGTAAATAAAATTGCATACTAACCCAAACTAACTGGTTTATTATAGGTAAATTTGGGAATGTTTGAATAAAATTGCAAACTAACCGGGTAATTATCGGTAAGTTTGGTGATGTCTGATTAAAAGTGCAAAGTAACCCAAAGTAACCCAAACTAACCGGGTTAGTATTGGTAAGGTTGGAAATGTCTGCAAGCTAACCCAAACTAACCCTAACTTTTAACTAAATTTACAAAAAAAGTGTAAATTTACAGAAAAAGTGTAAATTAACAGAAAAACTGTCAATTTTCATAAAAATATTTTTCAATATTAGCATGGCAGTTCTACGCTTTCGTACTACCCACTATAACATAAAAACTTCACAAAACCTTATTATTCGCATTAAACAATATTATTCGCCTAGACGCACTCAACTGACAGGTTTTAACAAGTTAATATGTTAAAAAAGGGAACCAATGTATATTGGATCCATTTTGCAAAATAAAGAATAATATATTTTTTGACTACTTTTTTTTGGTTTCTTTCTATGAAATAGAAAAGTGTGATTTTCATTCTAGGATTTTTTTTTTGTAGTTTTTATTATAGAAATGGCCATTTGATGCATGGTTCTTTTTTGCGAAAAGAATTAATACCTAAACCACATTCAAAATGTATTATTGGTTCAAATTTTAATTTTTTGTGGGTTGGTTCCTTTCTGCTTAATGCCGTCCAAATGTAACTTAAGTAATAATAATTAAAAATATCTATGAAAATACAATTTAAAATTTTTGCCACGTGTCCTCAAAGAATTCTGCAACATCGTAGTATGCCCTAGTCAAGAGCAACTCCCTTACCTCCCTTCTAAACCTTCTGTACGAACGTAAAGACCTAACACTCAATGGTAGAAAGTTGAAGGATTTCTTAGTAAAATAAACAAAAGAAGGTAGATACATCCTTTCTATTTTGCGAACATGCTTTTCAACCACGCCAAAGCACCTGTCACAGGGTAAGAAACTATGCCCTTTCGAACGCAGCCCTGTGCGAATATTAACTACAAGAGTTAACTCGTTGTGGGCGGAGCTTAGGCAGAGTTAACTACGGAGTAAAACATATTCGAACGAATTTGAGTTTTCAAAACGTCAAGTGTCAAAACGGATTATTTATTCGTTTTGTTTTGTTTTTGTATATTTGCGTTCCGAATTTTTTGAATCGTTTGAGGTGTTTTATTGGATTTTTGAGTTTTGTATTTTTATTTTAAATTATATACATTCAGCAAATTTCAGGATTCGGCAATAATGTGGAAAAAAACTTTGAAAAGTCCCTATTCTCACAGAACAAACCGCATCTCGTTATCTTTTCCCGTTTTCGAGATATTTACCTGCAAAATGTGTCAGTTTATCTAAGGACACCCTGTATAATGGATGTGCGAAGAAAACGAGCAGCTCTCATTACTATTGCAGACTTATTGGGCAGGCAAATGTTTTCTTCTTTAATGGTAATTAATGGCTGTATTTATTTCAATAACTTTATACCTAATCAAGTATATTTTTTAGAATGTTCCTGAAGATAATAATGTTGACGACGAACAAATCAAATTAATGCTTTTACGGGTCAAATTGTTGACCAACAAAAATGTCTTTGGTAAACGTATTGCCCCTGCTAGGGTGCAAGGCTATATTAAAACAACAATTCCAAATATGACTGGCAGCCAATTCAGGATGCATTTTCGAATAACAATTGAAGGCTTTGAGGCCATCCTTGGGAAAATTGGTCCTCATTTACATAAGGATCAGGTAGGAGCAGGTAGACCAAGAGTTCATCCAAAAGAACAACTTTTGTCTGTTTTGTGGATCATAGCAACTCCTGATTCTTTTAGGTAGGTTAGGGCTATTTTTGTTTTAAAAAAGTTTATTTTACTAAATAACAATCAAAATGATTTAACAAATGGATTGTTATTAACACAAAAGAATGGAAATTACACTATACACACTTAATGTCATTTTTTGTAGGTCTGTAGGATGTAGGTTTGGTATGGGAAAGGCCTCCGTTTGGGACAGTTTCATAAGGATAGTCAAGTTGCTAAATGAGATGTCTTCAGACATAATTAGATGGCCAACTATCTCAGAAATGGAGATTATCTCAAACAAATTTTTTATTATGTCAAGGAGAAGACTGCAAAATGTTATTGGATGCATTGATGGTACCTACATACCTATCAAGGCACCAATAGAAAATGCGGAAACATACGTAACCAGAAAATGTAATTACGCAATTACATTGCAGGGCATCTGCGATTCAAATCTTAAGTTCATTGATTGTTATGCTGGATGGCCAGGATCTGTAGGAGACGTACGAATTTTCAGAAATTCACAAATTTTTAAAAATATATCTGCAAATAAAGAAATTTATTTGCCTTTGCAATATTTTCTTCTAGGAGATAAGGAATATCCTGTGTTAAGTTGGGTAATTACCCCATTTATTGACAGGGGAATACTCACAGACATGGAAAAAAAATTTAATAAGGTAGTGGCTAGTGTAAGGCAAACTATTGAAAGATGCTTTGCCTTACTAAAAGGATGCTTTCGCTGTCTAAAATATTTGGAAATGAAAAGGACCGATTTAATTCCTTTAACAATAATAGCATGTTGTGTACTGCACAACATTGCTATTAATTATGAGGTGGAAGCTTTTATTCTAGAAGAAATTAATAATTTTCGTGAAGAATTGGAGAGGAGACAAGCAGATAATGCATATATTAATCAGCCCCGTGAACATGGGGGAGAATTAAGAAGGGACGTGATAATGCTGAATATGGACTTAAATGGGGTTGACTTATAAAAAAAATAATATGTATATCGAATTGTTTGGTTTTAAAAATTGACAATTTTTCAATTTGTTTGAATTTATAAATATACTAATTTAAAATTGTTATGATTTCTTTTTTTACCTTTTTATTGTAAAGCATGTTTTTGTATTGTTGAAAAAAAATCCTCAACTACAATAGGTACAAGTATTTATTCAAAGACCAAACTCAAAATACAAACTCGAAAAGTACCTAATCAAAAACAAATTAAAAACAAACTCTGTTTCTTTATAAAGATAACCATAAATATACCATAAAGTAATATACACATAACAAAAACGAAAATAAAAAGAAACTCAACTAAAAAACGCTTATATTTATTATTGGTTCATTTAGGAACTTATCTTTTCAGACTTCATTGTAGTTTAAGAAAATATAATTATACGAGGTGAACACTTTTATTCTGGGATATGGATAAATACGTTAAAAAAATATAAATGACTGGATTGGCGCCAGGTTTCCTTACTTATGTCTTAGCGCAAATATTTATCAGGAACAAAAAACTAAGTAGGTACTGTAATTAAGAGTTCAGACACAGTAAATTAAAGGGTTGTGTGTAGCATTTGAGTCGTAAGGACCTGACTAGGTACCCTAAAGGTGTTATAGAAAAATGACAGTTTTTTTTTTTCATGATGAATACCTGTGCTTATCAAAAGCACATTTATCTGACACGAAAACCTGACATTTCAACTATTATCCTATGTCCCAGAATAAAAGTGTATATATTTTAAACTTTAATAATAATAACTAATCTTTCCATCACAAAAGGTGAAAAAAAAACTAAAATTTATTTAGCAATTTTTCCATGATTTCTTTATACGTATCTATTGCTCTATCCTGTCTCTCCATCATTTCGCGGTGCCTCTCTTGTTGTTTTTCCTCCCTTCTGTTTAAATCTTCTTGCATTTGAGAAGCCCACTGCTCAACAATTTGGCCAACAGGCTTTATTTTTTTTTTAGCCGCTTCATTATTCTTACTGTCATCATCACCTTGCTCATCTGATGCACATTTTTCTGGTTGTGATTTGCCACAACTCTTGGAAGTAGAAGCAATAGCAAGAGGTGTAACATTTGGCTTATTTGAAAATATCTCGTTAAATTCATCTACAAACTCGAAATCGACGCGACCTTCCCCACTGTGGTCTGATTTCATGTTATCTTTTTTTGCAATATATTTCTTTCTTAAATTTTTCCAACGATTTTCTACCTGTTTGGGAGAATAATTATAATTTTCTTTTCTTAAGTCATTGCTTATTTTCTTCCAAACTACATAATTTCTGATTTTTGTATTTTGGAAATCAGGTACATACTTTTTGTACAAGGATATAAGCAGTAACGTTCCATTTCTGTTCCAGTTTTTGGCATCAATGACAATGTTAATTTCTAAAAAAAAGGTTTTGTTTTATAGTGATACATGACTTAAGAAAATAGGTACCTATATTATATAAACTATAGATAGGTACTAATTATTCTCTATTCATGAAAAATTTTAAGTAAAAACCGCTTTTTACTGACGAAATATATAAATAAAGAAATGAAATACTTTACACTAACTTGAATCTGTGCTTGGTTTATTTGCATCACCTTGATTCACCCTTTTAGAAATATCATCCCCTTCCTCACATAATTCATCTTGCTCACTACTGACAATAGAATCTGGTGAATCATCAATAGGGGACCATACCAGCTCACCAGCTAAGAATAAAATACAAATATTTATCTCCTGTAATATATTTATGATATTTGAAAGTCTGTGTTCAGTCAAATATGAATTAGGTAATTTTGTTTGGGCTGCTTGAAGCTTATTTTGCCTTTTTACACTTATAAAACTAGGTTCAATGATAGGTTATAGCTTCTAATGCTAATACCTATTTTACATTTTACAAAAAATATTTCTACTCTAATAACTAGACATAGAATAACCAATATTTCCAAACAACCCAAAACAGGTTGTTATTTTGAGCTCGATAAACTACCACCTATTGCTAACTGCTAAATGCATCTCGAATCTTGAGTAAATCCTGCAAGACTCAGGTAGGTGCTAAACTAATTAATTACCTTCATTAACACATAGGATTTTTCCATCCTCAACTATCGGAGAATCACTACCACTCTGTAAGATGGGCGTAAAACTCATGACTTTTGCAGAAAAATAAAAGAGTTAAAAAAATCGGGCACACAAAATCACAACCAAATGAACCAAACAAAACAAATCAAAACATCAACAAACAACTAACCTCTAATTTCCAATATTCTGTGACACATGACATCGGAGTAAATAAAACCTTGCGATTTTGTAGGGTCGAGAGAGATAACTCAAGAGTCAACCCTGTACATTTTCGAACGCTCGGCAAAATAGTAAATCTTACCCGACTCCGCCCATTTTTGGCCGATTCGAGTAACTCTGACTCTTGTAGTTAATATTCGAACGCAGCCCTGGTTCTGGAAATCTGTGAACAATTTTCTCAAAGCGACCATTTCTAACCAGGGTATATAAATATTGAATAAGGCTATTGCTTTTATTTTGAGCGCCGCAATTATCGGAGAACAACTATAAAATTTTAATTTCTGAGCCCAAAATATTTTCAAAATAGTGGTCCAAAAAACTTATTGTCTCATTAGGAGTTTTCCTTGCAGTGACCTCATCATACATATAAAAATGAGCTTTGCTATGCTTTAATGAATGTTATACATCCATAGCTGCCGCAGGTAAAAAGCGTCGCCTGATGGAATCTTTGGTAAAGGGGCATTTTGTTCATGATCAAAGCAGACGGTTTCAATGTTTGGATTTTCTTGAGCCAGCTTTGACTTTTCTCTCATATCTTTGAAAAAAACCTCAGATTGGTGAACCTTTTTCTCAGTTTCAATATTTTTGATTTCGTCCTCTGAAAGGGTAGCTCTTCCTTTCAACTGTATATCTATACGGTCACATACTTGGCAAGTGTCAGAACGTGGATGTCCAAAACTTATATTGAAGTTAGCTTTGAAATAACGGAAATAGAAATCATAAGTAATCTTTGCTTTATGCATATTTTTTTCTTTCGTGAACCAATATTTGAAGACCTCTGGTTCGTAAATATAGCTCATGCATTTTTTTAACATTAAGTTCAGCAGCCAAATAATATTTTTTCAGGTTATTTGCTCTACTATAATGTGATTTTCTGCTTGGAAAACAAACTTTTGATATGGCTATCAACTTGCATAACTAAGTCTTGTGGGATGACATTGGGCCTATTGTGATGTTTTCCCCTTGAATCTGATGGTGTAGTGGTAGCTGTATTGACCGCAATATGTGACGCAAGACGCTCAACTCTTTCACCAGACACTCCATGCATCGCACAAAATGCCTTTTTGCAGACTCTCTGCTGGAATGTGCCCAATCGAATCTAAAATAATGAGAATATGACTTGAACGTTTTGAAGGCTCTTTAATAAAATACTAAACTTACTGTCTATTCGGAGGAACTTTTTTTGCTGGTACCCAAGCTCCTATTCAGGTTAATCGGTTTTCGTTTAATAAGTCTGCATAAGTAAATATCCTGCTTCTCTTTATCACCAATTTAGTTAAACTTCTTGATTATCAAAGCACGACTTTCTTCTGATACTTTTTCGAAACATTTATATTTACATTCGCTGTTATTCCCTGTTTTTCTTGCACATCGTAGTCTATTTCTTGAGTTTATATGTTCTTTTCCTTCAGCAAGCATTCGCTTTCGTACATTTCTTTTCCACTCATTGTCTTTTCTTATTTTTCGTTTTTTTACCGCAGGAACTTCTTCATTCGCACTACCTTCACTTTCACTTGATGATGGCTCATAGTTATCACTAGAACCACCACTAAATGGCTCTTCTTCACTATCTGAATCGCTAGAATGACTCATTTTTACTAACAGAATGCACGAGGCGTGAAATTTTAGGTTAGATATTTACCTATATGTCAAAATAAAGTACATTTTTCGTTTAGTGCAATATGGATGTATATGTTATAGGTACATCCATATTGCACCAAATAAGAAAAAAATGTATGTGTTCAGGTTCTCCCCCCCACATGAATGTTTGGGTTAGAAATCTCGTTGTTGCGCCAAACGATAAAGGACTTCTTTTTGTGTCTATTTCAGCAGATAACTAATTTTGGCCAAAAAAATGCAAATAGCTCCTTGTTGCAGCTGGGTCTTCAATTGACGGAGTCAAACAGAAAATGGCTATACAGGCCTCTGTCTGGATTCACTAAAGAGTTTATAGGGATGGACACACAAATTTGGTTTTCACCGACTCTATTTAGAGCAAATGGTCCAATAATCCCACACTAACAATTTATTCTGAAAACCAGAGCAGCAGTATCTATTTATTAGCCAAAAAATCTGAATTGACTTACCTCAGAAGAAACGTGGAAGCACCAATTGACAATCACACAAAGTGGAGGCCCACAATTGGATGAAAAATTAAAATATAATATTTATATTTCAAAAGGTAGATAAGATAAGATTTATCAGGTAAAAACTCAACAGTGATATGGTAGTATGCACTGATGGCAAAATAAATTGAAAAATTATAAGGGAGAATCTGAAAATGTGAAGGAAAAATTATAAAAATTAAATGACTTGCCTGCTGGAGCACTGCCAGAGGAAAGAGAACGTTTTAGTAACCAAACCCTACAGGAAACCAATTTTGTATTTTTTATACTCAACTGCGTATTAACCAGATCAACCAATCAGAAAACTACACACAAAAGACCGTATTCACTTCACAATGAAATACCACGTGGATTAAAAAAGAATAGATAAAAATCCACTAGAATTATTTTAATTGTTTACAAATTACAATAATTTGAATCAAGGTTATGTTGAAAACAAAAAACCGCTTATTAATTAGGTCATTAAGCTAAAAATAATCATTTCAAAATCAGAAGTTGGAGAAAGACAGAAATATATATTTGCTAAAAGTGAGATAAATATAATTTCTTTAAAATGAAAATACGAATGACTGTCAATGAGAAATAATAAAGATCATATTTAAAAAAAAAATCTATCTGGTACTAGATGGCGGTACCTTTTTTAATAAGAAATATTTTGCATTTTATGCTGATGATGAAAAGATGGCAGTACTGATGATATATTGAACTTTGTAGATACTTTTGCATTAATCAAATTATGAATTATAATTTCGCTGATTCTGAAATGGCAAAAATACAACTTTATAATGAAAATAAGAAGAGATGGAACACGTTACGTAAACAAAACAACTTTCACATAGAAGAATGCATTTTTTTAATCTAATTTGGAGAAATAAGTTTTACTTTTCAATTTGATCTTCAATAATGACGAGGAAAAAATTATCACTCTGACCCATTTTATTAAGCTCTCGAAAATGTATACACATGTTCCTACCTTACCGAATCTTTATCTGGTACTAGCACAACTCTAGAACTAAACTCGTACTCTGAAGGCTTAATAATACCTAACTGTGATAAATATTCGACCGATTGCTGGACCTATTATTATTCATGCTCTGATAATCTTTTCGGCTTGAAATAAAAAGACGTTGGACCAGGTTTTAAATAAATTTTCAAATCATAAATTATTTTGGGTTCATTATTTCTTACCACATTTTGATAACTTTCTGCGAAGAATTGTTTTAGATCATTTCTTTGGCTACCACTTAAAGTAGGTACTTTTAACATTTAAACTGTCAATCAAATTTTGCCTTTCACAATCATAATTTATCAAAAATATAATATTATTCAAAAATTGAGTTTTACTCTCAATATTTTGTGTTGTTACCTTCGCAATTACGACCGTGTTGCCAAAAATTACTTAATATCTTTACAGGAAATGAAATCCCTACCTAGAAGAATTTCACAAAACATCGAATCTGATGGGCCAACATGCAAAATTACATCATAGAAATTATTATCTATAAAAGCGTTATGAGAAAATAAGCCTAATACATATATTTAAATGGCTTTTGTTCAGTCGCTAATAAATATTGTCACTAGAATAAGGTGAAATATCAAAGTTTTCTACTAAACTTTTGTTTATTAAGGATATAGGATTTCCTGTATCTAATATAGCCTCAATAAATTTAAATGGAAACCTTTACAATTCGATGTTTACGGTATAAGCTGGAACTGGCGTACCATCACTGTGTTCTACATACATTGTAGTCGAATCTGCACGTGCCACCCTAGGACCATTTCCATAAGCACGACTATGTGGTCTAGAAGAACGTTGTGAACAGTTTTTTACCTGGTGATCATTTCTACCGCATACGAAACAACGTCATCTTTCCCTTCTTGACTTAGGACATCTTTCGGCCAAGTTTCCTTCTTCGTAGCAGTTTAAACACTTTCTTTGCACATTTCTTGAGCCAACAGCAATAGAATATTTCAAGTTCATATTTGACCTTGGAAATTACTTCTGAGTACATATCTCCTTTCGTTTGAGGTAATGTCATTCAAAATTTCAAGCACTTATTCGAGTTAGTAAACTCTTTTATTTTAGCCTGCGTCTATAAATTTATATTATCAAAACCATCAATCGAATAGTATATTAAATCGGCCTCGGAAAAACCTAGTTTCTTCCTCAATAAAAATTTATCATATTAATAATCACTAAATTTTTAATTTCTTCTCCATCTTTGGCTCTTAAACTTCCTCATCATTGTCAACTTGTCTTCGGTGCATTTGAACATTAGAACCTTTTCTAGGTCATTCAATTTCAAAGCCGCATTGCTAGGGACTGAATGGTACAATTTTTGTGCTGTACTTGATAACTGGCTATAATCGTATTAACCCTAGCAAACCAAGCCTCTACATCCCATATGTCAGACAATTCAGGAATGAGTGCACTAATATTTTTCTGAATTCTGCAAGATAACGCAGCACGCATCTACCGTCTACAATTTCTTGCGCTGAAACTTCAGCTTATCCTTGTGCTTCCTCTTAAATTTTTTGACTTCCACTTAGGGTCCCCCTTTGGCCCCTTTTTCATTTTCGTTAAACATCTTTAAAATTGCGACTAAAACCTTAAAATATAAAGCAATCCAAAATCTATGAATACTAACTGCACTTTTATAACACTTTTGAAACTGTAGTATGGCCGGATTAACTAAATAGATTTAGATTTAATAATTTTCTCCA